CAGCTCTCCTTGTCACTTGGAGGGCAATGACACTGTCCAAAATTCATTCAGATGATGAAAAAGATTTGGCTTATGTGAAAACAGATGTGCTGCCAATCTTTCTTCCTACAAAGTTAGGGACAGGAGATATATTCAAAGAAATCAGGAAAAAAAAGAACCAATTCATTCTGGATATGCACTTTAAACCATGAAAGAAAAGCCAGCGTGTTCCATTGTCACCCTTCTCCATTTACTGTGAAAGACGACAGCTGCCCATCACTGAGAAATACCATGTCCCCAGGACTCTATTGAGGTTTGTAATCAATATTATCTTTAACCCTATTATCTTTGTAAGGAAGCAATTGTTTCTTCCCATTCTACAGACGGGAAAAACAAGCTCAGAAAACTTACACCACCTCTTAATGGTCATTCAGCTTGTATAGGGGAGCACTGGTCCTCAAATCCAGTCCCCTGGGGTCTATGTGCACATCCTTACCCACAAACCATTTAAAGAAAACAAGAATAACACCATATCATTACAGGATTCACATACGGTTCCCTTCCTTCTGCTCCCATTTATGAGTACCAGGCACTGTTGTAAGTACTGGGAATGAAAAGATAAGAAAAACTATGGCTTACTGAGTCCTTAACAAGGGCCAAGGCTTACTCAGCACTCATTTTTTTTTTTTTTTTTTTACCTTTAATCATTTTTATTTTTCATTGACATAGTAATTGTATGTGATTGGGATGCAATGTGATGTTTCAGTTCATCTATACATTTGTGAATGTTCAAGTCAGAATGATTAACCTATCACCTTAAATGATACTTACCATTTCTTTCCTTTTTTTTTTTTTAATTTTTCTTTTTTCAGTAGCAGGGATTATATCTGGAGTGTGTAACTACTGAGCAACATCCCAGCCCTTTTCATTTTTCTATTTTGAGGCAAGCTCTTACTAAGTTGCACAGGCTGACCTTGAACTTGCTATCCTCCTGCCTCAACCTCCAAAGTAGCTGGGATTACAGGTGTGTGCCTCTGTACCTAGCTCTTCTGCTGTTTTTGTAGAGCTGGAGATCAAACCCAAGGACTCACGCGTGCCAGCCAAGTGCCCTCTCACTGAGCTACATCCCCAGCACCTTATCATTTCTTCCTTGTGAGAATATTCAAAATCCTCTCTTATAGCTATTTTGGATTACCATTAACTAGAGTTCCCCTACTGTGCCCGAGAACCTCAGAACTTACTTCTCCTAACAGTGACACTGTACCTGTTGATCACTCTCTCTCCATCTCCCACTATTTTACTCTCAACTTCGAAGAGATCAACTTAGGATTCCCCACACAAGTTGAGATCATGCAGTATTTGTGTTTTTGTGCCTGGTTTGTTTCACTTAGCTCAAGGTCCTTTGGGTTTATCCTCGTTGTCACCAACGACAGGATTTCGTCAGTTCTTACACATTTAACCCTCACAGTAAGTCTATGAGGCGGGGACAATTCTCTTCTGTTTCACAGAGGAGAAAACCAAGGTGGGCAGATGCCACTAGTCCAGGGCCACATGGGTCAGCAGTAGTGGGACCTGGACTTGAACCCAGGAAGCCCGGGCCGAGGACTTGTGTTATTAACCATGGCACTGCAGACCTCAGAAGGAGCTGCCAAAGTCAGGGCCCTAGAGTGAGGCCAGGGGAGCACGGCATAAACAGGACCCTGATTCCCATCAACTTAAGTACAGAGTACGCTGATTCTCCGTACAGAAAATGATTTGACAAGGAAACAGTAAAATGGGTGGGGGGGACCCCAATGATTAAAGGCAGTTCCTTCGACTGCTGACCTAAGGGCTCCATCATCCCATTGGGCTGTGGCCAGCGTCTCTCTTTTCCATGTGTTTGTTAAACTCCAGGGAGCAACAGCACTGCACAGAAATGGTCTAGAAATGCCTCCAAATTGCCCAACTGCCCTCTGTGACATTTCTAAACATCAAAATGACTTCAACCTCAAAATATGCTTATATTTGAAAGGGCAGCATTCTCATCCAAAAGAGACATGGTTTTCCCTCATTTTAGGGGGAAAAAAAAAAAGTTTTAAGTCTGCTACACCACAGCCGAAGGGATACTGCGAAATCCTCAATGCTCACGTCGCACCTGGAAGAGCCGATCCTCCCAGCAACCGCAGCAGCTGCAAAGGCAGGTGTGCCCAGGGCTCTCACCTAGGTTCAGGGGCCTCTGGTCTAGCACGTGGCATCAGGACATCCTGACCCACATTCACAAAGCCCGCTGCACAGCTAGCTTGGAACCACATTTTCCCACCAGAACAAAACAGCTCACAACCTTGAAACCTTTATTTTAATTTATGGAGAAAGGCGGTCAACAAGTGGAGCCACTGCCATGTGACACCTATAGAAACAGGCCAGGCCATGAAAGGAGTTTGGTTCTTCTAAATGACCTCTATCAGACTGCTGCCTTCATCTCAAAACGGTCCCTTCAAGTCAGCCACCAGAAAAAGACATCCAAGCAAGAGGACTTTTACCCCCCAGAACCAGGAAAACATCTCTCTTCTCACTTCCCCTACAATGGTCCTATTTCTTTGTTTTTGGTACCAGGGATTGAACTCATGGGCACTCAACCACTGAGCCACATCCCTAGCCCTATTTTTTGTATTTTATTTAGAGACAGGTCTCACTTAGTTGCTTAGCACCTCACTAAGTTGCTGAGATTGGCTGTGAACTCACAATCCTCCTGCCTCAGCCTCCTGAGCCACTGGAATTATAGGCGTGGGCCACCGCGCCCAGCTACATGCGGAATCTTAAAAAGCCGAGCTCATAGAATCCAGGGCAGAGTGGTGGCTACCAGAGGCCGTGGAAGGGCTAAAGGACTGGGGAGATGTTGGTCCAAAATACAAAATCTCATTTAGAAGGATTCTATCAAGAGGTTGACTGTAAGGGCTGAGGTTGTGGCTCAGTGGGAGAGTGCTCGCCCAGCACACCTGAGGCACTGGGTTCAAACCTCAGCAACGCATAAAAATGAAATAAAGATACTGTGTCCACCTACAATTAAAAAAGAGGTCCACTGTATAACAGGGTGACTATAGATAACAATAATACAACAACATCTACTTGAAAAAATCTTTCATGCAAAGATTTTAAATGCTCTCACTAAAAAAAAAAAAAAAAAAAAAAAAGGGCATGGGAAGAAATGTGTATGTTAATTAGCTCAATTTAGCCATTTAGCCATTCCACAATGTACACATATTTCAAAATATCATAATTAGACACAATTTTTATTTCTCAATTAGAAAAGAAACAGTATTCTCCACTATTTTTACAAACAGAAACAAACAGCCTCGCTGCACTGCCATCTCTCCCAGGGTCACTTCCCCACCCCCGAGGCCTGTGTGGAAAAGGATAAGAACCCACAGTGGAGCCCGGCTCCTGATGCACATCACTCCACGGAGTCCCCAACACAAAAGCTGAGCCTGGATGAGCTCTTCCCCCAAGCAATAAAGCTGGCAGCTTACAGCTCAAGCGCCATTAGCAGTGGTTCTTAACCTTGGCTGCACAAGAGAATCACCTCAGGAGCTTTTAAAAATCCCAAGGCCCATGAAAACAGGATCCTTGGGAGTGTAATTCACACACACTGTATTTTTGAAAAGTTCTCCTGGTGCTTTCTCTGTGCAGCCAAAGTTGAGAGTCACCCATCTCCATCCACATGACCCAGACAAGGTATGTGCGCCTGAGGACACCAATCCCCTCCCCAGGGTGCAGGGTGGACTCCCTGGGCTAACGCAGGCAGCATCCTCAGCACTGCCATGCACTGTCAATCAATCTTGGAGCAGGGAATTAATTCTCTAAGTGGCTGTATCACGATCATGGGATCAAATCTCTCCCTTCTGCACTCAAGGTCTTGTTTTGGAAGGAGACACGGAGCAGAGATTAAGGCTGAACAGGCAGCCAAGGCAACAGCCACCTCTGGCTCCTGTTACTGAGGGCCTGCATCAACAACTCTTTTTTCAAAGTACCCCTGTCCCCCCGCCCCCTGCATCTTCAGATGAAAACATTCTCCTGACAGCCTCGTGCCAACTGGATACAGGTCAATACCAGTGGCCTCAAATGGCTTCTTTCCATCTGAATGTCTGCCTTCTTAGGCTCCTCTCTTTAGCCTTCAACCAAAAAGCCAGTTTCTAAATCACTCAGCAATAAGGACCTATAACTTAAAGGATCTAATCTGCAAATGGCAAGATTTCAGTCCTTTGAAAAGGAGGCCCTAAGTTAATGCTTAACCCAGGGGTTCCTCAACACCATCTGCATAAAACAATCACTTAAGAAAGCCTCAAAGAATGCCAGTACCCCAGTCCCCAAACTCTGGAGATTAACTTAATTGATCTAGAGGGGGGCCCTGAGCATCTACTGAATTTGAAAGTTTCCCCAGATAATTCCAGTAGGTGGTTATAACGAACCCCACCACATCAAAAAATAAAGTGCTTTTTATGGGAGATTGCAACTGTATTTTATACACCTTCTTCAATCAACTAAGCTACCTTTCAAGACACCGACACCAAGAGGCAAAAAAAAGAAAAGAAAATCCAACATTGGTGGGAAAGCTTCCTGGCTTTATCTTTTCACTTTAAAAGCAAGCGCAATAATTAAGAGTGGCTCATTCCAGGTCAGGTATCTAAAACTATCAGGGCCCCCCCAAAAGGGACAATGAGATCTACTGAAATAACCCATGTTCCTGTAACTGGATCCATACATCCTATTCAGCTGGAGGAATACATGTACAAATGAAAAGCTTTAAACTGAATCAGCACCAACATTTTTTAATAGGCACGTGAAAGCCCTAGGAGAACCCATCCAAATCTTGACAATAAATTTATTTATGTCTTATTCAAGAAGCTGTAATGCCTCACACTGTAGAAGAAATATGTAAGTAAATAAACCTATCATTGATTTACCACCTTCCACCCTCCAGCCCCTACAAAGCCAATGCCCTTCAAGCAAGTCAAGGTGACCCCTCAGGAAGGCCACCACCTTACCTCTGAATTTCTTAGGTGGGTTGTTAAGGTCTCCAGCTTCTGGCTGTACAACACAACGATCATCAACCAGGCTGCAAAGAAAACAGAGATGAGTGCCAGATCAAACCAAGTCTAGGAAAATAAAACTCTCGGCAAAAAATTAAATATCCCAGGGCTTTTCCTGCACAAAATGTAGACTTCGTGTTCTTCTGCCAGGGAGCTGTTTGCAATAAAGGAAATGGAGTTCCATCTAATCCAAAAGCCCAAGGTTCTGCTTCTATGCTGGATGCATTAGGCGACTGTTCTCTGCCCTGAACCATATTCGTGATAGATGTGGGCACAATCTGCTACACTGCCAAGGTCAGAAGACATCAAAAAAAGGACGAGTGCAATCCAACGAATGGTTAGCTGAGGTGCCAACTTTGCGCCAGGCACTGTACTAGGCCTTGAGATGTGAGGGTGAAAACGAGCCAGGCCCCAGCCCTTAGTGAGCTTAAGGCTACTGCAGAAGCCACAAAAGCAAACTGATAAGGACAGTGTAACTGAAAAGGCTGTAAGAGAAGGAAGAAAACACAGCCAGAAACCCAATGTGGCTGAGGCCACGAGAGTGGGAGGCAGAGGAAGTCACACTGGAATTAGTGGGAGAGTTGAAATAGAGGTGGGAGGACAAGGAGGGTACCGTCTCTAGGTGCCGGAAGCCCAGAGAAAACCCACAGAGATCGGGAGGGAAGGATTTGGAGCTTCAAACGTGATGAGTGGACAAAGCAGGAAAATAAATCACCAATAAACAACCTCCCAACCTCCCCGGCAGAAAGCAAAGATGCTCTAGGCTACAAGCTCCATGGAGGTCGTGGGAGCCTAGTGTGCAGCCCAGAAGATGCCCAAGGCTGGAAGTCAGTGTCCATTTGGTGAGTGAACCAGTGTCCAGAGTAGCCACGGGCATCTGGTCTCCTCAGGCTTCAGAGCATAAGACCTCACTGTGCATCAACAGGAGCGCCAACATGGTCCAGGGTCTGAGGCTTTCTGTTTCTTTTTCTATCATTTATTTTTTTATTATTTCTATTTATTTATTTATTTATTTATTCATTCATTCATTTACTTATTTTTGCAAAAACTCAAAAGAGTATAAAGGGCTATAAAAACTCCACCCTGGGGTGTAATCACATGAAAAGCAAATGGAGATCAGCAGAAGAGAGGAAACTGACCCGGGGGTGGAAGGAGGGGCAGGAGGGAGGGAGGAAGTGCAAGGAGGGATACTGACCAAATTATATTGTTACACTGTGTGCATGGACTAAAATGCAACCGCAAATCCCATCATTAGGTAACAGCATAATGCACCAATAAAACAAACCCACCCTCAATCCTGTTAGTGGTAATACCACCAAAGCCAACAAAAGACTTGAAAAGGTGGGCGCAGAACCCCAGGCAGGGCTGTCATTCATCCAATTCTCAAACCAGGAGGAAGGAGGAGGACAAAAGGCCCTGTTCAGGTCTAGACTGCTGAAGGCTCTCTGCCACCTGCAGATGTGACTGTCCTTCTCACCCTTTCTGATCTCAGTCTCTTCATCTGTAAAACTGAAGAATTGGTCTCAAAGATTCTCACCTTCGCTCATCAGTCTTTCTCCATCTAAATAACACTCATCCCAGGACCCTGTCATCCCCCAGGCTTACTGAAGGGAAGGGACCCAAGAACCTTCATTTCTAACAGGATCTGGAGGTGACTCAGAAGCACGTCACTAGTTAGCATCTGTGAACAAACTGGCTCTCTCTCTTCTGAGCTGTGACTCCTTGGGCTGGAGTTCTAAAGCTCAAGGAGCAGATGAAGCCACTTGGAGGTGAGCACACCCATCTCCACCAACAAGAGGGGGCCAAGGAGCCAGATACCAAGTCCCACTGAGCCCCATGACTGGTCCTCCATAAAATAACATTAAACATATCAAAAAAGAAGAAGGGGGGCGCAAACTTAGTTTTCCAAATCAATTTTGATGCCAACTATCCTCCAATATGTGCAGATAAAAAGGTGAACACAGTATTCATCCAAAGCAAGTACCAGAGCTGGGCACACTGACACATGCCTGCAATCCCACAGACTCAGGAGGCTAAGGCAAGAGGATCACAAGCCTCAGTAACTTAGTGAGACCCTGTCTCAAAATGAAAAAAATAAAAGGGTCTGGGGATGTGACTCAGTGATAAAGTGCCCCTAGGTTCAATCCCCAGGTTAAAAAAAAAAAGTATTAGAGATCCAAATTTTAAAGAACAGCCACCCTCTCTTGATTGCTTTTTAATTTTTTTAAACATTTTTGCAGGGTTGGTGTTGTGGCTCAGTGGTAAAGCGCTTGCCTAGCGTATGTGAAGCACTGGGTTCAATTATCAGCACCACATTAAGTAAATAAATAAATAAAATAAAGATATCGTGTCTAACTACAACTAGGAATATTTTTTAAAGACTAATTTTGCAGTTCTAGGGATCAATCCATATCTTTACTTTATGTGTGTGCAGGGGGTGAGGGGGGCTCATTTGTTAATTTGTTTGCAATACTTTTTAATAGGAAAAAATAAAGCAAAGAGTTCAAACCTTGGAGGAGTTTTAAGAGGTAGGACCCTAAAAGGAGGTACAATCTCAGGGGCTGACTGGGACTCTGCATCTGACCCGCATGCATGTGAGCCTGGATGGCTCGGTGGGACAAGGGACCCCGAGGAATGGTGAGCATTCAGTGGGGCAGAAGTCTGACAGCCCTGACATCCAGACCAGAGCTGTGGGCAGTGGGGAGGGGTGCTCTGAGAAGCTGGGAAGGGAAAGGCTGCCCTACAGAAGGTAACTGTCAGGACCCCTGGCCTTGGAGACGAGAGCCTTCCAAACTATGAATCCTTGGACAAGCATCTGCACCTCTCTGAAGTGCAGAGGTGTTGCCTCCATGAACCATGGTGACACCGTGAAGAAGTGGGTGCTGAGGATTAAGAGGAGGGTGTGGGCACTGGACCTAGTACAGCACCTGGCACACAGTGAACACCCACGGGGCTCACGCAGGGCTTACCGCTGCTGTACATTACTGTCGCCATTGCTGAAAAATAAGAGGGTGAAAAATTCAACCATGGCAGATGGAAAGGAGGAGGAGGCAGCCGAGATGAAAGAAGGGGCGGTCAGAGAGGAAGAAGAGGTCCACCAGGTAGGGACATCCAATATAGAAGCAGTCACTAGACTGGTGACCAGGCAGACCCAGTGACTTCTTTTTTATCAGCTGACTGGAAACCAAACTTTCTGTACAGTGAGAACCCAGGTCTAATTGAGCTGCAATTCTGTATTTGAAATACTTTCCTCCTTGAGGGTGGAGTAAGCTGAATGAGGCCTTGGGAATACCCATAGCATCAGTACCAAAAACAAGCCTGATTTCCATAATAGCTATAATTAAAAGAAAGATTCCGGCTACTGTAAAATAGAGGTTTTTAGAGACACTATGGACCTGCCTTCTCCCCATATACTTGAGATCAGCTCTTGCCAAATTCAACAAAGCCTCCGCAAGCCTAAGTACTCCTCCGTACAGAGTACACACCATTCCTGACTGTCCGGAGTTCACCATGTTGATCCTCCATTCTGCTCTTGTCTGCCTTGGGGGCCACTTGGCTTCTCATTTCCTCTTTTAGACAATAGGAGTAAGAGGAAAGGGGAGAAGATAATCCAATGAGGGCATAATGGCATATATTTATATCCTTAAAAGTGGAATCAAGGGCTGGGGCCATGGCTTAGAAGCAGAGCACTTGCCTAGCCTGCGTGAGGCACTGGGTTCGATCCCCAGCACCACATAAAAATTAAACAAAATAAAGGCATTCTGTCCATCTACAACTACAAAAAAAAAAATTTAAAAAGAAAAAAAGTGGAATCGAGATTGAAGAAAGCACAAACAGAAAAACCCGATTGACACAACTTGGTGCCATTTGTAACTTTCAAATGCATTCGGCAATTTTAGGTAGGAAAGTTAAGGAAGGTTCTGCTTCAAAGAGACCTAAGTATCCAAGAAGTTCTGAATTCATAGAGTCGTAACTAATGAGGGGTTTGTTCTTTCAAAACAGATGGAAAACAGTATTCTTGTGTAAGAGGTTAAACTTGGCTAACTTGGGATTTGGAATCTGTGATTTCAACCGCCCTTGGAAAAGCCGAGTAAAACAGTAACATGATTATCTTAGGAAAAAAAAAAATCATGTTTTTTTTTTTAAGCAGATGTTATGATGTCTTAAACAAGATCCTGCCACACAAGAAACTGTGTGCTCTTACCCCAAGGTGCTGATAAATCCATTTGTAGATCCCTCGGCGTACAGAGAACAAATGTCTCCAATATGTAGGAAACTGGCCATTTTGTCAGACATGGCTTTCTTGAAAATCCTAGACAAAATAAAATATGCAACATGGTTAGAAGCCATGCCAGGTGGTGGGAGTAGCGGGGGTCACCGAGAGCTGGCTTAGTTCAATGTTCCAAAGCGCCTTACTTAAAAGCCAAATAAATAGGACTTTGACAGGCAGGAGATTCCATGAGCCAAGAAAGGACATAGGCACCACAGTTTTGCTCATAGATTATTTAATCTCAGGACATTCCAACCACAGTAACATTCATCTCTAGCAAAACCAGCCTGAATCCGATTCTACAAGTTGTGGACCCTCAATAATAAACAGTGACTATTAAAGACTGCGCGGGAACTTGGCCAAGAACTTGCAGCAATTAAGGGGCTGGAAAGTCTGACTTATGAAACATTAACATAGTCAACGCGCCTCAGGGAATGTTAAGTTAGAAGGAAACACCTGGTATAAAACTTGAATCTGGCAGGGCTATTAGCCCAGGGCCAAGGTACCAAAGAACAAAATGATATTAACAAAAGGAAACCCGGTGTCATAAATACCCCCAAACCCTAGCTGCCTTATTGAAAATTCAACTGTACGCCCTTCACCCAAATGTTACTTAAATGGTTTGTTGTTGTTGGTGGTGGTGGTGCATCCTTCACCAAAAATACTTCCAGAGAGAGAAAGGCAGTAGGACAGCACCTGGCTCCAAACCCTTCAGTATTCTGGTGAAAATAATAAGGTTCCCAGGCCAGTGACAGAGCAAGTCAGAGGCAGTCTTTGAAAATACTCGTAAGTTCCACGAAACCTTTACAAAGCCCAGAAATCATTAAACACACACACACACACACACACACACACACAAATATCAACAAAACATTGAAGTGATTCATAAAAACAGCTTTTCATCAGGGCCATGAATACTGAGGAGTGGGAGCCAATTTTAAAAAGCTGAACTGACACTGACCAAACAAACTCCTTCGCATGGGAGGAGGGTGGGCTGCTATGGATGGCAGCTCATTCCCTGCAGACACCTGGCGGGTAGATGCGCAGAGAAACAGAGGGCTCCCCCAAGCCCAGACCCCTTTAAACACCTTTACCACCTGCCCCCCTCCCAGGAGTCATTTATCTGGCAAAGCCCAGGGACTTGCAATGGTGTGGAAAAGTGCTCTCTCCCCTTCAACTGCTTTCTGGGTGCCAAGTTTTCTTTTAGGAACAATCAGGCAGCAGTGATCATCATGGAACTTGGGGAAGCTCTCTCCTCCCTTAGCAGGAATGCCAGCTGCTGAGAGCAAACCCTTTCAGCTCAAACCCTGCAGCTTCTTGCAAGCAGGGGAGGACTCATTTTTTCCCCCTCCCCACAATGCAGACCTTGCAAGAGAGATAAAGAGCATTTCACCAGATACAAACTTATTAATAGAGGGAGAGAGCAACTGAGAATACAGAATAAACTCAAACCAAAGAGCCAGCATCTGTGAACCTGAAGGAAAGACACAGAGAGGGCTGGCCAAGGGCAGCCCTCTAGAATCCTATCACTGGTTGTTTCCTCTTAACTAGATACTACACCGAAGGGCAAGGCAACTTTTAAGAATTTTTAATTAATTAATTAATTAATTTTTACAGTACTGGAAATTGAACCAGGGGTGCTCTATCTCTGAGCTACATGCTCAGCCCTTTTTGAACTTTATTTTGAGACAGGATCTTACTAAGTTGCCCAGACTGGCCTCTAATTTGCAATCCTCCTGCCTCGGCTTCCCCAGTAGCTGTAGTAATAACCTCCCCAGGAAGGTTTTAAACAATATCCCTGCTGGTGGCACTAGTGACAAACACCAACGGATATTAATATTTCCCCCGTGAGTTTATATTTAAAAGTTTTATCTTTAAAGGACCAGAAAGTCAGCCTATTTCTGGGACCAATTTTTCCCCCTGCTATGGTACTAGGGATCAAACCCAGAGCCCTGCACATGAAAGGCAAGACTTTACCAGTGGGGGACACCACTAGTCAATTCTGATATATTTTAAGGAAAACAAAAACAGGGTATCATGTATCATGAAGGCACAAAATGATTTTTCTTTCCAGCACTGAGGAATGAACTCAGGACTGCACATGCTAGGCAAGTGCTCTGTCCCTGAGTTACATTCCCAGCCCTGGGACCAATTACTGGAAAACGATTTGCTTGAATTTTGAGTCAGACCAAATCTGTGTCTACACACACCAGCCTCCCAGAAGGACAAGGGGGAACTGCCAAATGCAAAAGAGCAGGTATGTGCTTGGGCAAGATGACCAGGGCCTTCCTTGTCCAGGGTGACTAACACTCTCCTCTGGGCCTGCCTTTCAAATGGGCATTGGGTCCCAGTGAGGACCAGGTCAGGAAAGAGCAGTGAGACTGCTGGGTTAGGAACGTTCATCACCATCTGGGTACCCTACTGAAAGGTTCCAGGCCCGTAACGCGAAGCAGCAGACACAATCCAGGATTCTGGAATTACAAAGTGTGACGTCACCAATGTCGCCTGCAGCTGATAATGGCAACAGATGCTTAGATACTGAATTTCGACAGCAAGATTCTGCCTGACTTGCATTCCTGATCGCAAGAGCTAACCATAGCCAACCAAGCACTCTCATGCCCAAAAATGTTCTCTCGCTGAATCTTCACCACCATAGCCCGGGAGAGGCACTGCCATTATTCTCATCTTTTGCTGGGCAAATGACCTCCAAAGAGGTTAAGACTCCCAAAGCATATAAAATTAGCGAGCAGGTGGACCAGGGTTTTTAACCCGAGTCTGACTCTTAAATGAAGTCTTCATCAACAATCCCTAGAACACAGGCCAAACTGTTCACTATTCTTCTTCCCTGGATGGTGAGATTATGGGGGACCAATTTTCTTCTTTATGCACAATTCGGTTTCCTGATTTTTCTATTGTGACATTTCCTAACTTTTCAATGTAACATTTCCATAGGTCACAGGGAAAAAATTAAGCAGATTCTCGCTCACCAATATGCTTATTAAGTTGACAAGATAATTGAACAAGTAACCTTTAGCCACATTTTACATTTTCCCCTGAAAACACAGGCCCCTGCCTGCCCCACAGTCCTCAACCAGGCAAGCAGCCAGTAGGAGACAGATTCTTCCCCAAGGGAATTGGCAACAATCCCCCTTGCTGAGGACCAGAAAGAAGGCTCTGGTCTCTCTGGAAACCTCTGGAGGTCTCGCCTGGCCTACCTTTAATGAAGGGCACGGGAGGGAGGGGGCTGGTGCAATTATCAGTGAAGTCCGGGAAGGAAAAACAAAGGCCGGGGAAAGTCAAGAGAACAGGCCGCTGGGGTTGAGGGGAAGAGGTGGGAAGCAGGGCCCTGAGAGCAATCTTTAGGAAGACTTCCTGTTGTTGGGAAGCTGGGTGGGCGAGCCTGACTCTTTATCAGATTCTGGACCATTTGTGTCTGCAAGCCTGGAGCAGCTGCATTCAGGGCTGGGTGTCATTCACACAATGGCTGGGGACCACACGGGAGAAAAACAGAGCCAGCCTGCCATGGAGCTGCATTATTGCGGTGCCTCCAACTCTGGGGACACACCCGGGGCTCTTGGCTAACAAACTCTGACATACAGGAGAACAGGCCTGGTGGTCAGTCTGGGAGGGCCAGCCTAGTGCTCTATAGGTAAGCTGCTGCTATTAGCTCTCCTCCGCCTTGGGGATAATGCTAACTTCAAGGGGGCGTCTCAGCAAAAGAGGAGAGCATGCTTGCAAAGGGCCCGGGACAGTGGCCCTTTGCACTGCTCAACACTACCTATTTTCTCTTCAGTGAGGAAAAAAAAAAAAAGTAAAATTGTGGAAGACTCCAGGGTTTAAAATATTCTTCATAAAGGTGAGGATCTGCTGTATACAGAGTCAGCTGGGTATTTTAACAAATCATCTCCTGTCTGACCCATGACATGTATTTTACTTCAGGGAAGATAATCATCCTCCTTAATTTCCCTGTAGGGAAAAAGCTGAACAACACAGAATTATATGCAGCTCCCTACCAGAGGATGCTGGCCTTGCAAAATACACAGACTTGCAGAACAAATGCTGGTATGAAGCATGCAGTGACATCTCTCGTCCAGCAAGGCAATCCCCCCACGGCATCCCTTCTGGTTGGACTCAAGTTCTGGTTCAGCATCTGACCTTGATAGGAATACCTCTACTGTCCCCCGGCCACACACACACCCACAAGGACAGGCGTCTCCTGGAACTCTGGCTACTCATCTATCCTTTGACACACCCCTTGCCCCAAGGAGCCGATGGTACGGCTTCAAAGTGACTGCATCCAACCCAACTCTGCCACTTACCCACCATCACATTCACCAAGCACTCAGCAAAGGACCCTGCATGCAGTGGACATGCTATCTACAAAAGCTTCGACTATGAGACCGCAGCTACCACCAGCCACTACCACTGGGAAGGCTGAAGCCCCTGGTAAAATAGGTTTATTCCCAAGGGGCATGGCCAGGGCAGCGGAAGGTGGAGTGCTACCCCTGGGAGGGGATCCCACAGATGTAGCCCCAGCAGCCATCCTGCCCACTGGCTGAGCTCCCCTTTGCCCTGGGAGAAATGTCTCCCTGGGCAATGTTTGAGAAAAAGGGAAATGGGAGTCCGTTCCTAAGCAGGGAGCAAGAACAACACAGTCGCAGATCTCCTGGGCAAACAGAAGCCAGGGGGGGTGGGCTTCCCCTCTGTATCACTCTCTGCCCTCTTTGTACCTTCCCTGCATCTCCTGGTGCACTCTGCCGGCCCCAGCCACCTCCGCGTGTCCAGGGTTCCCAGGTCTACATCTCACAGCTTGTAGATACCAGGGTTCTGCTACTGGATGCCCACAGCATCTCAACTGCAAAAAAGCACCCACCTGCCTGCCCAGCTGCTCCTCTTCCTCCGCCTGTGCACTATCTCAGCTGCCAACACCAAGGCCAAGTGACACCTCCAGTCTCCCTTCTCTCCTTATGGCTACTGCAGGGCCTTTGTCCATGTTTTGAGCCCAGAGCATTCTCAACCCTGCCCCTACCCTTGGCCCTAGT